AGATGAGTTATGGGTGAAGATTTTATTAGCCAAGTATGGTAGAGGTCAAGACCTAAGGAGAGGTATAAAAGCAAAATCGTTTGACTCTAAAATCTGGCGTGATCTTGCTAAGTGTTGGAGTAAGTTCCTAGATGGACTTAGATGGGAAATAGCAGATGGTTCTGATGTAAAGCTTTGGAATGATAACTGGTTGGGATGGGAAAACACTTTGTTGCAGCTGTCGAATAACCAGGTTCCGTGGGAGGAAAGTCAGAAATCAATTGCGGATCATATGGTGGATGATGACTTCAGTCTTGAAGTTGTTCACCGATTCCTTGATTCAGATATGGTTGTTGCAGTAACAAATCACTTAAGGCTTATTCCAAGGAATGGCGAGGATAGATTAGTTTGGATCAATAACCATAGCTCAACTTCCTTGGTTAAGGTTGCTTACAATAACTTGATGAATTTTCTAGAAGCTTTTCATGCTAGCTTATGGAAAAGAGTTTGGACGTGGAAAGGACCAGAACGGGTGAAAGTGTTTATGTGGATGACTTTGCTCTCTAAAATACCGGTGCGTAGCAGAACTAGCAAATGGAGTGGAGGTCCTAACATTTGTCCTAGCTGTCCTACTCATGAAGAAACTATACTCCATGTTTTACGTGATTGTAGACATGCGAGGAAAATTTGGCAATTTTGGTTTAAAGGTACGATACCAAACTCTTTTATGATGTTGAATTTGCAGGATTGGCTGACTTCCAATATAGAGAACTTGTGGGTTTCAAACGAAGTGAAGGACTGAAGGGATATATTTTATACTACTGTTGGTTTTTATGGAAATGGAGAAACTTGGAGATTCATGATGATCATTTCCGACATAAAGACCATTCGACAGCAACGATTTGGAATTTTATTCAACAAATTGTGCAGTCCCGATTTCATCATGGGCGCTTAGGTACCAAGGATAGCAGTTGGATAGCTCCTCAGCAAGGATGAGTCAAGTTGAATTATGATGGAGCCTCTTCTAATAGCTTGAAAAAAGCTAGTTGTGGTGGTATTTTAAGAGACCACACTGGATCCTTTCTGGGAGGTTTTTATTGTGATGTAGGTTTTTGCAATCCTCTTGATGCAAAATTATGGGGATTATTGAAAGGTTTGGAATTGGTTTGAGGTACAGGCTTAAAAAAGATAGAAGTAGAACGTGATTCTAGTTAAGCCATCCAGATTTTGAAGGAGCAACATGAAGATCCTAGAGACTCTCAAGTCACTAGAAGGTTGAGATTATGGTTAAAAGCATACTGGACCATTCATCTAGTTCATACAAAAAGAGATAACAACAAGTGTGCTCATTGGTTAGTCAAAGCTGGTCAGAATGAAAATCTTCACTTAAAGATTTTTAAAGAACCCCCTCCTCAGTTGATGGGTCTTATAGTTACTGATGCTAGAAATATGTCTAGCTTGATAGTTTCTGAGTTGTAATTTCCTTTTCTTTTTAGGGCTTAGCCCCTCTTTATTTACAAAAAAAAAAAAAAACATGGATAAAAATAGATGTTCAAAATTTAATTTAATTTTTTTTTCATTTGTAAATAATTGAGACAAAATTAAATGTTGAAAGTTAATATTTAACCAATGATATATGAAAGCAGTTGACTTTTCGATGGCGACATGGGACGGGAATCAAGGCTGTTAATTCTTAAATGAGCTCAATTGTTATATTTAACTCAAGTTTAATATATTATACTAATAAATCAATGATAATTTTTTTTGTAATTATTAATTAGTTATGATAACTAGTATTTAACCAATCTGACTTTTGCTAACTGCTTTTTTATGGCAACATATATATGGGGCGGGAATCAAGGCTGTTATTTTAGGTCAATAATCATTTTAACCCAAGTTAATCTATTATACTAATAAATCAATGATATATTATTTTTTATAGTTATTAGTTAGATGTGATAATTAGTATTAACCAATGATGTATTAACTAGTTGACTTTTGGTAACTGTTTTTTGATGGCAACATGAGGAATCAAGCGTGTTAAATGAGCTCAGTTGTCCTTTTAACCCACGCTTAACATATTATAATAATAAATCAACGATACATTAGTTTTTATAATTATTAATTAGTTATGATAGTAAGTATTTAGCCAATGATGTTTTAAACTGGTTGACTTTTGACAACAGCTTTCCGTTGACGAGATGGGGTGGGAATCAAGGCTGTTAAAATGAGCCCAAGTGTCATTTTACCATAATCCACTTAACTTGGAAGTTAAGTAAATTGAGATAAAAAAAACGTTGACTTTAATAAAAAAACATTTTATTAGTCCGACTCATAAAAAGATAGGTGGCGGATCTGAACAGGTCTCTCAATCTTCTTTCTAAACTACCTTTCGCTTTAAAATGGACTTATTCTTACATACACTCATAAAAAACGTTCTCTTTTTTTTTTCTAAACCTCTTTCGCTTTAAAATCTACTTATTCTTACATACAATTAAAATCAGAAAGATAAAAAAAAAAATCAAATTTTATTTGAAAACAAAAACAAAGTCTAAAATCAAAGCATATCAAATTTATAAAGTCAAACTCTAAATTGAAATTATTCATTGTTTAAAAAAATAAATAAATAAGGTAACGGGTGAGCTACTATAACTCATTTAACTAAAAATCAAACAATTAATCTACACTCAAAATACTTTTTTTTTTTTTTTTAATTTCTCAACCCATTTGAGGTAACTCTCCTCAAAATACATTAATTTCAAACGATCAACAACTTCAAAATTTGAACTACTTTTAGGCAGTAAACACACCCGCCGATGAGTTTCTGGTTTTGACTGTCTACATGGGAATTCTACCGTTCCTGGCAATTTGATATTGATATTAGAGCTGTCAAAATAGGTTGTCGTCCATGGGTTAATCCCAAACTCTATATTTGATCCTAATATACAAAACTCATTTGTGGTAGGACTTTCTCTAATGTCTTCCCTCAAAGCTCTATGATTTAAGGGCTGGTTTAAGGTTTATCTAGGAGTCAAAAAAAATTTATCATCAAAATTTTTATTATTTAAAAATAAAACAAAAAATATATAAAAATTTGTATATATTTAATAGTTATAAAATAATTAAAAATATAATATTATAATGAAATGTACATTACAATGTTACATATACAATTTTATAGAATATATATAATAAGTATATATTTTAATGGTTCAATAAGAATTTGTTTTATTTATTTTATTGGATGTTTTGAACTACTTTAAATGAAAGATATGTTTTTCCTTTTTATAATAATATTTTATTCATTCTTATATGATATTTTGCAAAATATTATTTATAGAGTTAAAATATATATACACTTATATCAAAAATTTAAATAATATAGAAGAGATAAACTTGTATTCAAATATGGATTTGCATTTTCAGAGTCATCCAAATTTGAATCTATCAGTCTTGAATGTAAAAAAAAAAATATTATTTGCTTAATAATTCATTCTTATTATTGCACACAAGGATAAATCCTGTGGGAATGGATCCTCTCAAATAATTTTAACGAGATCATTTCATGCAATTAATCTCAACCGTTTAATAATATATCAATGGTCATATTTTTAATGATAAATTTATAAAATGAAAAAGAAAAGCAATTCAAATAATTAATGTTGAACATTAATCTTTGATTGAATGGTTGAGATTCAAATGATCTGCTCATATAAAAATTAAACAATTCCATTCTAGATTCTTTTAAATTTTTCTCTTTTTTTAGTCGAACAAAATAAAAAATGATAAACTCTCGGCATTTGTCTTTAAGGCTTTATAACTAAGTAATTTACTCTGTAAATTTTATAACTTAATTAAATTCTAAATAGTTTCATACAATTTAAAAAAAATTAATAGAATTTTTATGTTTTTCTAATTTTTTAATAATTAACTAATTTTTCAATTAGATATTACTAATTATAAAATTATATCTAAGTTCTCAAAATCTATAATAGCGATACATAATAGCTTCTATATATAGTTATGAACATTCTTTCATACTTTTAAAAATATTAAAAGTATAAAAATATAGTAAAAAATTAAATTTCAAAAAATTATTTAAAATTTCAGCATCAATTTATTTGTTGTAGTAAAAAAGTTGAGAGTGTTACAAAAAATTCTATTTAACTAATTTTTACTATAAAAATCAAACCGTTTAAAATTTCACCTATACTAAAGTATAACTGAATAATAAAAATCTTCAGTATAAGTATAACTTAATAGTAAATATGATTCTTTCAGGATATAACGAAAAGTAAGGACTTCAATATTTTTTTAAATAGAACCAATTGTTCAATAATTATTGGAAAAATACTAAAAATTTGCTAATATTTCAATTTTTTATTTGTGTTGAAATATTATTTTATTAAAAATAAATAAATTATGAAATATATATATTTTGAATAGAATATTTTGTGAATTTGTTAAATATTTATTTATTAAAGTAATTTCAAATACATTGAATTCAATAAAAGAAATTTTATTTTTAAATTATAACTTTGGATGTCAGCAGGTCTTGTTATTGTCAGCCTTTTAGCCCTGCTGGCGTTTGGGTCCTAACCTGCATGGATTAGGGTCTAATGACCTAGATTGACAACTCCAATTGATATGACCAAATGGAAAGTTAGTTATCATGAAACCTAAGTTTCATATTAAATATGTTAATGATTGCGTTAAAATTTAACGATTAGGACAATTTGTGTTACTTGTGTTACTTATTAAGCCATCTGATTTTGCTCAAGAATTTTTCAAAACTAAATGTTACTTTCTACACAATTAGAAATATGTACTGTTTGTAGTTTTGTGCATGTTGGTATCCTGGTCCGTCTTGAGCTTCTGTCATGTGTTCATATATTAAAATAAAGAGATCACCAATACACAATAACCGCTGATGTAAGTTCTACATTCTATATAATAGAGTGGCAAAGAGAGTTTCATCACTAAACTAGAAAGCCTTGATCTAAATTCTGTTTCCACCATATATGGATCTTCAAACCCTATACTTTACATCCATTTTCTCCCTATTCATTTTTATGCTTATGGCACACAAAATAGTGACCAAGAAATCTGAGTCAACTCCAAATTTACCACCAGGGCCATGGAAGCTACCTATCATAGGGAACATACACAACCTTGTTAGCTCACTTCCCCATCGTAGGCTAAGAGATTTATCAGCAAAATATGGACCCTTAATGCATCTGAAGCTTGGTGAGGTTTCTACCATTGTGGTCTCATCCCCAGAGTATGCTAGGGAAGTGTTGAAAACCCATGATCTTAACTTTGCATCAAGGCCTCCTATCCTAGCTTCAAAGATACTTAGTTATGATTCTCAGAACATAGCTTTTTCACCTTATGGTGATTATTGGAGACAACTAAGGAAGATTTGTGCATTGGAGCTATTAAGCTCAAAACGTGTCCAATCTTTCCAACCAGTGAGAGGGGAAGAGCTCACTAAACTCATCAAATGGATTGCATCAAAAGAAGGATCACTCATTAATCTCACCAAAGAAGTGACTTCAACAATATCTACAATCGTTTCAAGGACAGCCCTTGGGAAGAAGTTCAGGGATCATCAACAATTCCCATCACTGATAAGGGAAGCCATGGAGGTTGCTGGAGGTTTTGACTTGGGAGATTTGTACCCTTCTGCTAAATGGCTTCAACACATCTCTGGGTTGAAGCCTAAGCTAGAAAAGTTGCACCAACAAACTGATAGGATAGTGCAAAACATCATCAATGACCAAAGAGAGGCTAAGTTAAAGGGCCCAAAAGGCCAGGGTGAAGAAGCAGAAGAATATCTTGTAGACGTGCTCTTGAAGCAGGAGTTTTGCTTAAGTGATGAAAGCGTCAAGGCTGTGATCATGGTAAGCATATTGACATCTTCCCTAATCTATTTTCACACAACATCTTATATATAAAATAATTAATTTAGCCTCACCTGATACCTTAAGGTTTTGAGTTGAATTGATTCTTTTCATGGTATCAGAATTTTAGTGACCACGAGGTCACGAGTTTGATCCTCACCTCCCACACCTTCAGGTAGAATTAAGAAAAATACAAGGCAGACTAAAAAAAATGGACTTATGTAACACAAGGCAGACCAATAACAAACTTGTATCATATTCATGCTTCAAGTCCAAATGACTCTTACATGAAGGAGTGTGTTAGAGAAATATAAAATAATCAATTTAACTTCATCTAATACCTTAAGGTTTTGGGTTGAATTAATTTTTGCCATGAATTAGTTTTTGTACGTGATATTAGAATGCCTATAACTAAATGATTGGAAGTTCCAATATTATTACCGCAAATCTATATATTGAATTGATTCAGGAAAGTATAATATATAAAGAAACACTAATAGGCTTAGTTCATATCTAATCTAAATCCTAATAAAACAAGAAAATAGATCTTTACAGATAATAAAAATATTCTAAAGATATTCTTTCTAACATATTTGATAAGTAATTTATGATTGATCTTCAGCAGCATCTGCGCATACTCATATGGTTGCTTCTTTCCTTATCTAGCTTTTGTAGTATTTCATTTCACTTCAAATGCAGGAAACATTGCATAGGGTGTTCTTAACATTCTAGTCTTTATTAAATATTGGCTACCCGCTACCCAGTCTTATAACTATTTGGATGTCTTTGAATCAATTTAATTTGATCTCATGATTTTGAAGGATATATTTGGAGCTGGGAGTGACTCATCATCTACCACAATAACATGGGCAATGGCAGAGATGATTAAAAATCCAAGAGTAACGAAGAAGGTACAAGCTGAGGTAAGAGAGGTGTTTGATAAAGAAGGAAAGCCTGATGAAAGTGACATGGATAAACTAAAATATTTGAAATCAGTTGTGAAAGAAACATTAAGATTACACCCTCCTGGTGCTATTTTGCTTCCAAGAGAATGTGGACAAGCTTGTGAGATCAAAGGGTATCATATACCCGTGAAAAGCAAGGTCCTAGTCAATGCTTGGGCAATTGGAAGAGATCCAGATTATTGGAATGAGCCTGAGAGATTTTATCCTGAGAGGTTCATTGATAGTTCTGTTGACTACAGAGGTAATAATTTTGAATACATCCCATTTGGTGCTGGAAGAAGAACATGCCCAGGCGTCACGTTTGGCTTGATCAACGTTGAGTTTCCACTAGCATTATTGATGTATCATTTTGATTGGAAACTTCCCAATGGAATGAAAAATGAAGATTTAGACATGACTGAGACTTATGGAATTGGAGTTAGTCGAAAATATGATTTACGCCTGATTCCGATTACTTCTCATGCCTGATCTACTCCACAAGCTCTGCAATAATATTAAAGAAAAAAGAGAGAAAGAAATTAAAGCTGAGAAGAAAGAAACTTGTTGCCATTGTAATAAGGGTTTGCTAATTTTTATATGTGTGTAGGAAATAATTTTATCTTATGAAAAATATTAATTATATATATATATATATATACATATATATATATAATTTTGTGTTTTAATTTAAAAAAAAACAAAATCAAAAAAATGCATCGAGCCTTGCTCCTACTAGCTATGAAGCACTGACACTTCAAAAACCCTGACGTGTCATGTCCAACACTTTTCGACACTCCAACACGCATTGTAGAAACTCAAAAAATAGTTCAAAGGTTGCATTGCGTTGCGTTTTTAGTTCCAACTATTAGATTCGTTGGATTAAGATTACTATTTTATTGAGTTTAACATAAATATTTGGGATAACTTATGTTTCTTTGCAAAATTGATGGGTATTATAAGTTTAACTTCATTTTTTTTATTAAATATAATATATACTACATAAATTAAAAATATTATTTAATATCAAAACGTGTCCTAACGTGTCGGAGTGTCGTGTCGTGTCACGTGTCCCGTATCGGTATCGGTGTTACATAGCTTACTAGTATTTCATGTTGGGTTTAATATGCTCTTTACACTTAAGCCCAATAGCTTTAGTGAGAGTGAGCCCAAAAGACTAATTTCAACCCATGAAGCTTAGGGTTAGTCTTGGATTGGACAGAGTATATAAACTCTATTTTCTCTCTAGTGCCTCAGGGTTACAGACATCAGAAACACAAAGAGGCAGACGTTCATCATCTGAACGGTTGCCCACACGACTCCCTGATCCCCTTGAGTCATAGCTTGGAAGATCAACCGTAGAGCAGAATTGCGACCGTTCGTGGTGCGTTGCTGCAGATCGTGAGGCTTGAGGAGGAGAACGGAACGTGAGAAACTGTCACGCTCGCTGCCTCATCTCAAGTAATCAAAGGGGTGTTCTTCATTCCTCATCGCATCGGTACAATGCGCTTCCGCGTTTCTGATGATATACCTTCAATTGGTATCAGAGCCAGATTGTGATGGGGATTTAGATCAACTTTGATTTATTGATTTATTTTTGTGATTTTGAAAATATGGCACCTTTATTCTGTATATGTTGTTGATACTCATGTTTTAATTCTTTATAGTTCATTTTCATAAAAGTTTAGATTTTAATCGGTAAAAATGCTTTAATCCATGGTTAGGGTCTCTCGTGTATTTCTCGATTTGTAACAAGAAGGCTAATCCCATATGAATAGGTTTCCTCCTTGATGTTTTTTTTTTTAATTTTTCGAAATTTTTGTGTATTTTTCAATATTTTGTAAAAATTCAAGATCGAGAAACCGCCAAAGGATTGGGTCTTTGGGCTTTTGGGCCCATGAAACCCTAAAGGGGCTTGAGACAGATACTATGGGCTAGGCGAAAGTTGAATTCCAAAGTTGTAATATTTTATTTTTATTTTTATTTTTATATTTTCTTTAAAATAGGAAGGCCATGGATTAAAGTAATTAGGATTTATTATTTAATACTTTTATTGAATGGTATGAATTATATGTGCGATTAACATGATATTTGCGATAACATGTCATATAGGATAGGAAGGTGCCATATTGCTGCATGATCACATGTCATACGTGCATATTTACTATTATGTCATTACCGACTAGTATGATAGTATATTCGCGTAGTTTTTGATTTTAAATATTCCGGTAAAATAAAATTATGATTATTATGATTTTGGAAACAAAATCTAGATTAATGGTTATATTAATTTCGAAAATTAATTTAATTATTATGATTTTGGTAAAATCTATAATAATCAAATTGATTATTTTTGGAGTTTAAAATCAAGACAATAAGTAAGAAAATTTCCTAAGAGAATTCTTTTATTTTGCGAGTAATTTGTGGGTCTACTAAAATGGTCATATGTTAAACACACGCTGCATACCACAATCATGTATCATGATTGCGTGAAGCACACGCTGCCTATCATGACCGGATTTTAGGACCTTAATGATTTCAAAATTCAGATAAGCTAAGTGATGCACGTTCATCGGCGCTCTTGCTTACATAGTTTTTGAAATCAAACAAAGGATACTCTCAATTAAATAATTCTTGGAAATTGGAAAATATTGCTTATGTTGAATGAAAGGAGATTTAAATTAAGAAATTAATTTAACCTTCAAGCGCATTATAAGGACCATTAATAAAATAATCATGTGAAGTCCCATCGAATAAGCATGATTGGATTTTATTAGATTGATAATTATGGGAGGAGATTTAAATTAAGAAATTAATTTAACCTCCAGGCGCATTGTGGGCCTATCAAGAAAATAATCATGTGAGGCCTCATCGGATTAGCATGATTGGATTTTATTGGGCCTTAATAATTTCAAAATTTTAATAAAGTATTGTACGGCCCATCGTCGATAATACTAAGTTATTAAAGATAATTTTGAAATTAAACAATGAATTCGACAGGGCTTATGAAAATTCTCAAACAAAAATGTTGAATGGGTGAAGGTTTTAAAAATTAATTAATTTTAAAACCTGCGGGCTCCATTTGTGGGTTTATTAGTGAAATGGTTATCGCTGAAGCCCCATCGGATAAGGATAATCAGATTTCACTAGATTAAATCTTAATAATTTCAAAATTTTAGTAAAGTATTGTACGGCCCATCGTCGGCAATGCTTAGACACTAAGGATAACTTTGAAATTAAACAATGGTTAATTACATTCAACTTTGGTAAAATTGTTAACCCTCCCATCGAGGCTCTGGCAAAGGCACTGAAGGCCCAAATAACAATTTTGGTTTTTACAAGTGACTTGCCCATCGTAAGCCTTGTAAAGATAAACTGAAGGATTGTTAACAATAAACAAGAGTAGTTATGAGAATCTACTTGCACTTCGTTTGTTTATTGCATTATTTGTTTGTAATTGTGTGCTTTATATGTTTTTCAGAAAATATCTTAGAAATGATTTTGAGTCGAAAACCTCTAGATGGTACCAACTATGAATAAGTGAAAAGCAAATCTTTGATATTATTCTAAAACATGGAAGCTAAAATTTGTCCTGACAATGCGAGGGCCATAGCAACCTGCAGAGAATGCGTCTAAGGAAACTAAGATGCATTTCTCAGATTGGGAAAGGGCAGATATGGTAGTTCGCTGCTATGTTATTGTCAGTCTTTCCAAATATTTGCAGAAGCAAGTGTACATGATTAAGAGTGGAGTAGAAATGCTTCAGACTTTTAATGACATGTTTGCTGCGTCTAGCAGTTCTGCTAGACAGAATGCAGTCGGTGCAGTTTTTGCTAAGAGTCTTGTTAAATCCAAGGGAAAACCCAATGGTGATAACAAGAACAAAATAACTTGGTTATCAGTTGTCAAACCAGTTGCTATGAAGAAGCCGCAAGGCAAGTTCTTCAAGTGCAGACTGAAGGGACACTGAAAGAAAAATTGCCCAGAGGTGATGAAAAGAACCAGACATGGGTATATTAAGGCCTGATCAGTGAATGAATCATTGATTCAGGAATCACTGATTATGTTTGTTACTCTTAGCAGTAGTTCAAACATGGTATGCCTGTCAGCAGTGGACAAAGATATTTTAAACTTGAAAATGGGAACTTGTGTCTGCATTTGCAGTAAGACAAGTTATTTAATGACTATGGTTTTGGGTGACTGTTTATTTGTTCCGGATTTCAAGAGGAATTCAATTTTTGTTAGTTGTTTTGGTTAAAACATGGTTTGACAATGCAATTGATTCCTCAGTTACATTTCGAAGTTCATCTTCGTCTTGTTTTTTCTGGTACATTGTTTAAATAGTCTTTATTACCTTTGTCCTATACCCCCTAAATTTTTGTGTTGAATGGAAAGGATGATGAACAAGGATTTTCACCAAAGAAATAAAAGTTTCAAATGAAACATAACTTTGGCCTTTGTGATTGAGTCACATTATCTCAAGTAGGAAACATGTTTTAGTTAAAAGAGGGACTGAAAGTTCAAGAATCTTTTAACTAACAGCTACATGTTAGTCCTATTTGGAAGGTAAAATGGCCAAGCAATCCTACAAGGGCCAAAAAGGTTTGCGCAACTATTCAACTGGAACTGGTACATACTAATGTATGTGGACCAATTAGCGTTCAGACCAGAAGAGGTGATGAGTACTTCATTATATGAATGTTTACTCTGGATTTGGACAGATGAACCAAGTGCGTCATAAGTCTAAAGCTTTTGGAAATTCCAAGAGGTTTAGTCTGAGGCAGAAAAGCATGTAGGTGTTCAAATCAAAAACACTTTGGTCTGACTAAATTGTTGGCTACCTGTCTGGTAAGTTCAGGTCTTACCTGATTTAAGAGGGGATAATTTTTGTAACTGTCAACTCTAAGAACGCGTTAGTTGAATGAAGTTGCAGTATGCAAAAATTAAACATTTTTAGACTTGGTGAAGATCATGTTCAGTTATTCATCTTTGTCAATGTTGTTCAAGGGAGATGCCTAAGAGAAGGAAATGTATCTTCTTAACTTGATTCCGTCAAAGTTTGTTGTAAAGACACCTAAAGAATTATGGAAAGGGTGCAAGCCCAGATCAAACCATATTCGGATTTAGGGTGCTACGGCACACGTCCTACAACAGCAGTCAAATGAGATGGAATCTTGTATGGAAGAGTGCATATCTTTTGGCTACCCTAAGAGAACTAGGGATGATTTCTTATTTAGTCTTAAGGACAAGATAATCTAAGTGAGCACTCACATGATTTTCTTAAAGGAGGACAAGATAAGAAATTATAAGCTTTTAAGTTAGGTTATTCTTGATGAGATTTATCTCAGATCAAGAATTTCCAGAATCTCTAGAAGCTTCATCCACTGTTCCCTTGATTGTTCTAGAGGGGATAGATATATCTCTAAGTGAACAAACAAGAGAACCATGATTGGAAATTCAACATGATAATATATAAGTGAAACTAGTAGAAA